GGGAGTGTAACTACCGCATGTTTCAATCTTCTGTTGATTGCTATGACTTGTTTTTGGTCCTGGACGCGAAGGCCATACGCGCAGCGTATTGTCATAGTCCCGGCCTGGCCTACATAGCATGTCTGGTACCGCATTCTGCTGTACAAACAGAGAACGGTGCATTCTCGTCATTGTCGTCTTCCCCACTGTCACCAAACTCATCAGCAGCAGCACTGCAACATCATCTCGATCATGCTGACCCGTGTGTCTATTTTGGTTGAAGGCTTGGATCTGTTGATTAGAGTGTCACAGGCCTTCGGTAGAGGGCACCAGGAAAGATCCCTTAGCACCGAACATGTTACGCGGAGACCGAACCCATGTTGCCTCCCCAACTCCCGGACCCATGTTGAGATGTTTATCAGTGTTACGAGGACCGATTTAAGCAGATGTGGTTGGATGAGACTTCAAGCTGGTGTGGTCGCCATTAAGCGAGCCATAAGATTCCATTCTTTTAGTATGGTTAACAATAGAACAAGGTTTTTGGCTGGGCAAACAGTTGTTGCTTGTTAGAGTTGAGCCCCGACACTGCGAATGGACGATCTGGGCTTTTGATTTGGATCAGGACACGAAAGGTATCTCTAGGATGTGCAGACCGTTGACACGCCCGTCGTGGTGTGGACTGATAACAGCAGGAAGCTTGCAAACGTCATCCAGACTGCTGTCACCCGGAGAGTCTCAGCGTGAAACCAACGTACGCTCATACCGCCGAGTTAACGCCAGGGCAGTGATGCTTACAGCGGAATTTCAGCTTCTATTATCTATAAATAAGCCTGGGTTTGGGTTTGATGGCCGTATGATCTTCTGTTTTCTACAACATAATCGGGACGCTTGCTCGCAGGATCTTCTGGGTTTAGGGGCTTTAAACCCTAAACTCTAAACCCTATACCCTAAACCGGCAACCACTCACCAGAATACCATTACGAGAGCCGGCCTAAGCCCCAACTTAATGGTGCTGACATGAGGGACACAGGGAAATAGCGAACATGAGACGACGACTGTTGCGTCGGCTCTACATACTCAGACGGGCAGCTTAGCTGTAACACCACTGTTCTTCATGGTACTGAAGTCAGCAGTAGCAGCAGAATCCCTGAACGTTCGCATTAGTACAGCGGTTTCCATTCCAAAGCATCTGGACGATTCGGATCTGGCTACGCAGTTTCATGATCCGTTGACCCTGGGGCTTCTTGACCCGGTCAGCCATCTCGTTTTAGATCTGAGCCCAGCTGTACGCAGCAGGGTAATGACCATAAGAGCCATGGCAGGAAATGATGATGCGAATTGGCATAGTGATGCCGATGGTAGCAGAAGCTAAAGTAAACTAATATGTAAACAGTAGTCGTCGTCGTCGTCTTCATCGTTGCAGTGTAGTTGTCGTCGAAGTTGTTGTGGTCGTGGACATGGTCATGGTCGCGGTCGTCGTCGTCGTAGTCGCAGTCAAGGTAGCAGCCGTGCTCGTAATCGAAGTCGTAGAGGCGAGCTTGTTGTTGCTACAGCTTGTTGTATCTGAAGTTAACCTGCGTCTACCCACCCCATGTGGTGCAGGTGGGTCATCAGCCGTTGCCTCAGCATGGGATGCAGGACCATTGGTCTTTTTCTTCAGAGGTTCTCGTTGCGAGTGGCTGATCTACCGTGTGCAGACAGACCTGAGTTTGATTTTGGCTTTCTCTGCGGGTATTTTTGGCTCAAGTCTTTTGCGGTGAGGCCATCAGGTAGTGAAAAAGGGTGGTTTGCTGTGATGAGGTGGAGGCTCGTGGGTCTCGTGGCCCTGCTGCTTCCGGCATTGCCGGGGAGAGCGCACTTTGCTTCTAGGGAAGATGAGACACTGGGTTCTGGGAGTACCATACTTGAATACTTTTTCAAAGGAACCATTATAAAATCAAAGTCTATACTTTTTTCTCCCTGGTTACTTCAAAGCCCAGGACATGCCTCACACAGATGGCTACCGGGCGGCAGCGGGGGAGCCCGATCCGCTTTGTCTCGCTCGTCGGAACGGAGGGATCCGGACATCATCTGCTCACCCCAGTGATTCGCAAGATTATGGCCGCAAGCTTAGTGCCGGGGCAAGATGATGTGGATTCTGACCACGAGACGCATTTCGGGTTTACCGGTGCTGGGGCAGACGACTTGTTGTGGTATGCTTTCAAAGGGAGCAACCTGCAAGCATTTCGCGAGGCTCTGCGCAAGCAGAAGCATGGAGCTTTAGTTCAGCAAGAATACAGTTTTCCATCGGGTGACATGCGTTCTGTTGGCCACCGGTTCTACAACCTCACCGACCTTTATCAGATGCTCGAGGCGTCCGGCGTGAAGCAGAAGGCCGTGATCAAGTATGTGCGCCCGATGCCCCAGCGTGCCCGTTCCGTCTACAAGCGATGGCCCGAACCCCGTGGGCAATTCTTTCGCCATTTTTCAGGGTTTAGGGTTTGGGGTTTTAGGGTTTAGGGTTTAGGGTTCATGGAGATCTTCAAAAACATGTGGGGTTGTGGGGTTTTCCAGACGAAGCAGGTCCATGTTTGGGTTTAAGAGTTCTGAGCTACTGGGCCTAGGACTCTAAACCCTAAGCCCTAAAGCCCTAAAGCCCTAAAGCCCTAAAGCCCTAAAGCCCTAAACTAAGGAACACTGTGCCGGTTCGCTGATGGCCTGCAAAGCAGAGCAGCAGGCGTTTGACCAGCTCATCGAGGATCACCTAGCAGAGCTCGATAAGATGAAGGTACCGTTGCTAATATGGGTTTAGGGTTTAGGGTTTAGGGGGAGTTTCCGAAAATTAGGGGTACCCTATTTTGGGGCCCTTTATTATAAGGATCCTACCATCTAGGGTGCTATATTAGGGTCCCCTATTTTCGGAAACCCCCATACACCTAATCATTAGAATACATGGTTCCTTTAAAGGGGTCCTTAAAGGGTTCTATCAGGGATCTGTGATAGGGTTCTTTCTTAGGGGCTTTCAGAATTCGAACCGGGGTTTTGGTGGAACTTTGGTTTCTCTACTTAGAATAAGGAACCCCCAAGACAGTAGTGGTAATCATTTAGGCGCCTATAGTAGGGCACCCTCCCCCTGCACCCTGTTCAGGGTTTCCGGGGTTTAGGTCCCTGAACAACGAAGCCCTCAAAACTCCTGAACCCGAAACCTCTACGCTTTAGGGTTTGGGGTTT